AGCCTGAACTGCCATCCAACCACCTCTATAAACAGGGAAACTCCCTCTGAGAATTTGGTGCAACAAAGCCCCACAACCTTGTAGTGTATGTAAGCATAAGATTAAACAGAAAACAAAAAAGAATCAAAACTAAACAAAAACAGAACCAAAACAACCAACCAAACAAACAAAAAACAGGGTCATTTTAAAATTCTGGATTTTCTGAATTCTGTTGCACTGTGTAGCAAGCATGTCCCAGGCTTGTTCCTACCTCTGCTGAGAAGAGATATGCTCTCCCTGTTCCCCTAGACAGATGGAACAGGAAAGATTCTAGTGTGGTTTCTAGTGGGGAAGAAAACAGGATCTCCCCCTGCAGCGACTCTAAGATAAAGGTTAAAGGCAGCTGAGGAAATGAGCAGGGAGCTCCTCCTGCTGTGTTTGTGATGGTAGTTGCCATCACAAATGGCTTTTGCCACGATCTACAAGTATTAGTGCTACTCCCAAGGTGGTCTGAAGGCTATTTCCTAGTCTCTCTCTCTCTCTGAGGCTGAGGAGTGGCAATAGAATAACAGAATGGTTTGGGTTGGAAGGGACCTTTAAGTTCATCTTGTTCCACCCCCCTGCTATGGGCATGGACACGTTCCACTAGATCAGCCCCATAGTATTGAACACTTACATGGATGGGGCACACACAGCTTCTCTGGGCAAGGTACCTGTCCCAGCATGTCTCTGCTCTGACAGTAAATAATATCTTACTAATACCTAATCTTAACCTGCCTTTCTTCAGCTTAAGGCTATCCCTCCTTGTCCCACCACTACATGCCCTTGTAAAAAGTCTCCTTTCATCCTACTTGTAAATACCCTTTAGGGACAGCCATAGAATTGTAATTAAAAAATAATGAGTTAAAATTTTTTTATCATTTCCAGTATTTTAACAAGCAATTTCAGAAGTCAATGTCAGCTGTTTAATTTTCTTGTATTCATTTTCATCCTAAAAAAATAGAAAGACTTTTCTATTATGCTTATTAGTTTCTTAGCAGGATACAACAGACTTCATAAGCACTGTTTGCTAAAATTTTTTGTTATTGTCATAAAGATGTAAGAACTGTACAGATAATATTCATTAATATTTCAATTTATTAACCTAATATACTGTTACTGTTTGAGAGTTTTTTAGTAGAAAGGTTTAACTTGAACTCTACTGTCATCTTGTGGTGACCAATGTTTCTGGTTCAAACTCACAAAACAAAAGTTTTCAAACTGAAGAATCTAGATATTATACAGATGAAGTTATGCTGCTTCTGCCTGCTAGGAAACAAATAATTCCAACCAAGACATTTACCTCTGCAAATTAGAATGATAACCAGACACAAAGGCAACCAAACCAACCCTCATGAAAATGTTTCCCTTGAATTCCTCAGTCTTCCTGTGCCATTCCTGAGATACTGTTGCCTATATTAAAGTGTTTGATATTCAGGAGGATACCAAAAGGCATGCCTTTGATCTATGAGACCACACTAAGAAAAAGACTTCAGTTTGTCTGCACCACAGAAGATAATTGAAGATAATATTTAGTGCTGACTAGCTTCAAACATCTATATTTGAAGGTTGCATTGTCACTCTTCCCATCCCTTTAACTTGTCCCTGCTTGAGCAAAGGGTGCTGCATGTGCACAAACGAGTGGTACCACATGATGACATTAGACAGAACTTGCTTGGATATAAGTTGCTCATTTGTTACACACTAGTCCTTTCAGCAGTTCAAGTTCAGTAAAACCAGTTCAACTCCTCTGTTTTGTGTCACATCACAGGGTGTGTGTGGCTGTACTGCACCCCAGTGATGGTGTGATGTAGTAGCATGACACCAAACCTGAGCAAAACAAATGCCACTGAGGTTAGTTGTGGCTCACACACCCCTTCCTCTCTAATACCTAGCCAGTCCTGGTTCTGGTCTCCCTGTCCTTGAACTAGACTTAACTCTAAGGCTTATTTCTAAAAGCATATCTATTTTTTTACTTCAGTGTTTTAACTCCAACCAGATCAGCCAGGCTGTGGAACATGGTGCAGAATATGGTATTCAATAAACCTTAGCCTCGAAGATTAATAGGATCACTGTTTGCTAGCACAACAAAGGATTTTTTCCATCAACAGACCTGTCTGGACCAAAATTGCTGTACGGAAGCTGTGACGGGATATCAGCTGCAGCGACAGACTCCCGTTTCCTACATCAAAAAGACAGTTCTGAAATCCAGACATGTCACCTTCTAAATTTTTGATTACTTCCTATGCAACAAAGAAACAGCATGAATTAGTCAGTGCTGAATTTAGACTGGTGCCATTCAGCAGCTGCCAGTGCATGAGCCTGTGGGCTCTGAGCAATAAGCAATGAACTCTGTGCTCCCCTGTGAACTTCACACAGGCTAAGACCTTAAGACCTTCTGGAGCAGTACTGGGTCAGCCACAGCTCTGCCCATTTCCTACCCTAAAAGTATTCCTGGATACTAAAGAGAAATGCATGACAATACCAACAGTCTTTCTTTCTGAATAGATTTGAAGGCATGTAAATGAAGAAGATTATTTTTATCCCACAAAGGACAGGAATAATTCCTGCACATTCTTGCAAGCAGCCAAACCAACAGACTTCCTTTAGAGGCTGTTGCCATGGCACCTGTCCAATGTCCATGCCATCTTCCAGATTTCTGGGATTTAGTGAGAAAGAAAGAGCAAAGGATGCACTAGATAAATGGCACACAGCAAGGCTGCTGGGAGAAATATGACTTCAGTTAAGCCTGTACAATGTATTCATACTATTTAAGTGGTTTGGTTTGGGTTTTTTTTTTTTTCCTGAATGGTATTTCATCCATAGAACACAGTGATTTCTATTCTGATTTCTGGTAAGGAGGACAGAGTTGCTATAAAATATTTTAATTGAGTCAAGTCAGGGTAAAGTTAATTTTACCTAAATTCAGCTACCTATGTGCCCAACCTAATGGGCCTGCCTAGTTCTCTCTTAGAATTCATGGAAGAAGGGTTCCTCCCAAGGATTGTTTCTTCACCCTACTTCAGACACCTAATTTAATATAGGATGATTTACCATTTGGAACCAATCTTCCTTTTTAACTACTGCAGGACCATGGATGGAGTAAATGTCTGCATTTCATGTGAGGTAAAATTAACACAGGCAAGGATTTCTGTTATTTCAGAAAGAGAAATTGCCACCCAAAAATGAGAGAACTGAGTGAATAGTCTGAGCCACATGTTTTTGGGTCTGGAAGCTGAAGTCAAAATGGCTTTTTCCCCCATCCCTCAACCATACCAGAGGTCAAAGGCCTCTCACTACATAAATTAGCACCAAAAGAATTCAACAAGGGGCTACACTCCAAAAGAAATGAGGACAAATTACTATTTAGACAACCATATGAACATGATTTGTCCAGGAGTGAAAATGCAGCAGGTCAGACACAGCTTTACTAATTTGAGGACTGTGCTATGGGACTACCCCTTTTTCTGATCAATGAGCTCAACTCATTCATAGTAGGAGGGTGGCTCACAGTTTGTTGGCTTATGATGGGCCCAGACAGCTGTGATTGGGAAAAACTGCATTTTTAGTCAGTAAACAAGGACTGACATCTAGCCTACCAGAAAAAGACATTCTTTCATCAAGTACTCTAAGACAAGTTACATAATTCTACCATCAAAGACAAATAAACTGGCTATAGCATCAATTTCTGGCTCTGTTTGGGATGACAAGGTAATTATCTGGTAATAAGGTATACATAAATTTCTCCAATTTCCCCTGAAATTAACTCTCCCAAGATAAAATTGTGTATAGACTGTAAGTCTACTGAAGAAGCATAGTAGGCAGGCATGTGAGAATTTAAATAGCAGATTTTCAGAGAATAAGAGAACATGCTGAGTTGGAAGGGACCCACAGGAATTATCACACAATTCTTGGCCCTGCACAAGACAACCTCACACAATGTGTCTAGAGCATTATCCTGATGCCAATGTCCAAATATTTCTTGGACTCAGCCTGGGTGCGGTGACCATGTCCCTTTTCTGTGCCCACGATGTCCATTGCAACACTTCTGATCTCAGGTAGACTGTGTAGCACCGTGGAGGGGTCTGGGGGAGGACATGGACAAACAGAGAGTGCAGGAGGACCCGTTCTTCACGGCAGCTTACTTTGAAAGTTGTGTATTACAGACAGCAGTACCCTGTGCCTGAATTTCACTCATAAAAACTCACCCATTGGACCTTATTGCTCTCTAGAACCACTGAAAGGAAGGTGTAGTGAGGTGAGGGCCGGTCTCTTCTACTTTGCTTACACAGAGGAGAACAAAAAATGGTGTGAAACTGAGAGGTGGGAGATTCACGTTAAAAATTTTATCACTGCTCGGGTGGCCAGAAATTGGTTACCCGGAAGGTGGTGGAATCGCTGTCCCCGGAGAGGTGTTCAATAGGCGTCTGTTTGGCATTGGGTGATGCGGTTTACGGGCTTAGGGTTACAGGGATAGTGCTGGGCGGACCAGTGGACTGTATGGCCTTGTACATCTCCAAAATTGGAGAGTCTGTGATTCTGTAAAAGTAACTCCGATTGTTGCTGTGAGCAGGGTCAGGACCTGGCGCTCAGCCACTCGCCTGGCACCGCGACCGCTGCTGCAGAGCTGCACCCCCGGGGTGCCCCGCTCCGTGCCCACAGTGCCGGCGGTGCAAGGCCGGGCTCTGCGCCCGCCAAGCGCCCCCACAAACCGGATCCGGCCCGGGCCCGCCAGGCGCCCCCACACACCGGATCCGGCCCGGGCCCGCCAGGCGCCCCTCACGCTGGATCCGGCCCGGCCCGGCCCACCAGGCGCCCCTCACACCGGGCCGAGTCCGGGCCCGCCAGGCGCCCCTCACACCGGGCCCGGTCCGTGCTCGCCCGCCACCCCGCACACCGGGCCCGGTCTCTGCTCGCCAGGCGCCCCGCACACCAGGCCCGGCCCGGGCCCGCCCAAGCGGCCGCCCCCGGAAGCGGTCGCGGGGCCGTGGCGGAAGCGGGGCGGGGCGCGGCCTCTTTGGTGCTGGCGGCCGGCGAAGATGGTGAGTGCTGTGCTCGCTCTCGGGACATCGGCCACTATCCGCCGCCATCCGCCGCCGCGCCGGGCCGGGGGCGCCGCGGGGGCAGGCCGGGCCGCGAGGAGAGGCCCCGCGCTGTGCCGTGGCCGGGCCGGGCGGCGGGGCTGGGCCCGGGGGCTGGCGGCGGGCGCGGCTGCCGCGCCGGGCCGGGCAGGGCAGGGCAGGGCAGGGAGGCCGTGGTGCGGTGTGGGGCCGCGAACGCTCCGGCCACTCCGGCTTGGTACCTGCTGCCGCCGTGGCCGAGCAGCCGGGCGGTAAAGTAGCAGGAGGGGTTTCGCTCCCCAAGGGTGAGTGTGCGGCTGCTACGTGTGAAGAGAGTCACTTTTCGTCGGGAGAGAGCAGTTTGTTGCTTTAGGGTGATGGGTGTGGGGAGGGGGGAGCCCATGTAAGCGCGCTGTGGCTCCGTTCTAAATCAGCACAGGGGCGGGGGCGCATAAGGAATGGCGGCAACGGGTCCTGAAAATGGAGGTTGCTCGTAGTTCAAACTGAGTTGTGGCTTAGAGTTGAATGTCCCTCCGACGTGTTTATATGCCTCGGTTTGCGCTCGGTTTTTTAAGGCTTGTTCTATTAGTTTTGTGACTTGGACATGTTAGTGATATTTCCATGTCTTGAAATGCTTTTTAGACGAAGGGTACCTCGTCGTTTGGTAAGCGACGAAATAAGACACACACCCTGTGTCGTCGATGTGGGTCCAAGGCGTACCATCTGCAAAAATCGACCTGTGGGAAATGTGGTTACCCTGCTAAGCGTAAGAGAAAGTGTAAGTAACAAACTATTAACTGGCTCTAGTTTGAAAAATCGTGTTTCTTCTTCAGTAGTTTGACTTGTTTTCCAGTCAAGGAGGAAAACTTTTTGCAGTGTCGTTTTGCAGTTTTGTCATTTTGCATTTTGGAGCTTTGTTGAAGTTAATGATGATTTAACTATATGCCAGCTGATCTGCAGTATTACTCCATAGAAAATGACTTAAATTATAGTTTTGGTTTTTTTTCTTTGTCAGCTTGAATAATTGTACCATACAAATGTAAGATGCAACCAAAATTACTTGGTGCAATTAAATAACAGTGACTTACATATTTTAGATAACTGGAGTGCAAAGGCCAAAAGACGCAACACCACTGGTACTGGTCGCATGAGGCACCTGAAAAAGGTCTACCGTCGGTTCAGGTATAACACTTTATTGCCAGGTAGCATGCTGTGAAATCCTGCATAGACACTATTTAATGACAAAATTTGCCCCTCGAAGTTAACATTTTAATTTTGTTTTAGTACCACTTAATGGAGTACAGTCTTCTTAAATATGTAATGAAATAATGTGCTTTGTATAGTTGTCTGCATTTTATCCTTCCTTGAGGAGAAAAAAACCTTTCTGGTAAGACAAAAGGTGTGCAAAAAGTTCCAGTGTTTATACTGAATGAAGGTAGTGTAGGACGTATATGTTATTGTAGTAAGAAGCTCACTTTTAAAAATTATTTGTGTGGTATTTTGTTCATTTGTGATTCATTTAAATAGATGGTTACACTAAAGGTTTATTGAGATAAGTCTCAAAATGCACTCCAGTCCCCATTTGCTCACTCAGAAAAAAGTTCAGGACAGGAATAACGTCTCGTCCCTCTCTTTATTTAGAGTTCAGTCAACATTAGTTAGTTATTACATCAGATCTTGAGTTGCAAGTTGAGTTGTACTTGGGAGGTATTAGGGGTGTTATATGATTCCCATTTTCTATGAATCCCATGGAATTCTGTAGCTTCTGGTCCACGGCACAAGAATGCTATATGAAAGGTATCATGTAATTCAGGAGTGAGGTCATAAAAATGTAGATTGGTTTTATTAGCAAAAGGTAAGAGATTTTTAAGTCTCAGTTGTGGGTGTGGTTGAGGGATCAGTTTGTTTTGGTTGGCTCATTCTTTTCCAGTGGCAGCCATAAACCACCCTCCAGTGTGCAGCTGTAGCTTGCTTTCCACTGAGTGTTGCTCAGGTAGAAATGTCATCCAAAATCAAGCTCAGGGCTGTGTGGTTGGAGGCATAGAGGATTTTTGTAAGAAATAGACTTCAGAAATGAGACCTCTTTAGCCACATTAGGAGGAGTGTGTACTAAGATGTGCTTTCAGTAGGTGAGCTATATTTGCAGGGTTCACTGAGGTAATGAAATCTTCCTGTTTCAAGAGGTCAAACTTACTTCAGCAGACAAGAATGAAAACCATACAGCTTATTCAAGACAATTTTTAATAATGTGGGTTTTTTTTAAAAAAGGTCTGAACGGGTGAACTCTGTTGTGATTTCAGTGCATTACTGAGATAAATTGAAAAAAGCTAGTGAACTTCATGTAAAACATGAGTGTCAGAAAATAACCTGGAGAAGGAATCAACTTTTTAAAAAGTAGTAACCATATTTCTATTTGCAGGAATGGATTCCGTGAGGGAACCACACCGAAGCCCAAGAGAGCAGCTGTTGCAGCCTCCAGTTCATCTTAAAGACTCATCTATTTGTTAAAATAAATGGTCTTAACCAGAAAATCTGTCACCTTTTTTTGCATACTTTTACATACTCACTGAAATGTAGTATTCATGAAAATACATAATTAACACAAATTTGTAACACAAATTCTGAACTGATTAATTTCAAACAATCCTTTAATTGAGTCTTCATTAGGTAGTATCTTTGTCTTGAAAAGGACCATAATCTCTGCACTGAACTGAAAAAGAGGCTTGTATGTATTGCTCAAAGGAGGTCTGCAGCTAGAGAGGTGGAATATTGGTACTGTGGATTTGCCCTGTGTTCTTCTGCTCTCAGTATACCGTAGCACGGAGAGCCAGAATTTTGTTTTGAAGATAGTAACTATAATAGTAGTTACTGTGTAACTATATAGTTATGTGCTGTGTTGGGAGGCGTTAGTGAAAGAGGGATTTTCAGTGCTGTTCTTTTTTCACTGCTCTGTGGTACTTGAAAGCCTACAGAGGTATTACTTACTGTGTGCATCGCTGCTTCTTGGGCAAAAAGAAACTCCCAAGCGTGGAGCTTGTGTACTGCAGATACAGGGGGTTGGAGATCTGCTGTGGGTAGGACAAAACTGCCTGAATGGCTTGGTGGGGTTGGTGTGGAAAGCTTGATGCGCTGATCTGAGTTAATGGTGTTTTGTAAATAGTAATACCAGACAGTGAGTCACTTTGACTTACATAAAGATTATAGATAAATGAATTTGTACCCTGCATTGTGTGTTACTGGCATTCAGACTTGCACTGAGAAAGAGATTATAAGGTGCTGCTGTGCCAGTTTGGGGAATTGCAGTAGTTACTGTGAGGGTTTACAGGACTTTCAGATTGCCTCGCAGAGACAATACTAGAAACTAAAAAGCTTGAGATGCTTTAAGCTTCTGAGGCTATTCTCACTGCTCTTAGTTTTGTCATGAACTTCCAGAAGCAGAATATTGCTTTGTCTCTGTATGGTCAGCAGCTAATATATCACCTTCAAAATCACAGAAGATTTCAGCCAGGTGAAGTTGGAGTGCCTGACTGCATTTTCCTATGTTTTAAAATGGAGTTAGAATTTTTGGATAATCCAGTTTATCAACTTGGGCTGTTTCTAAACCAGAAGTAATTTGCTGCTCTTCTGTAGCATGTAGCAAATAGACTCTACTTGCTCTAGATTCAACTGGTCCATTTGAGAAAGTTGAAATGTTAAGTGGTAGTGATGCTCTTAAAATACACAGTGCACAGTACTGGCCATTTATTCCCAGGGCTAAGGAGTGCCCCTGAAATATTTTTGGTGATGTTCGGGAAACACATGTAGGGAGGAAGTAATCATAATTGTCCTCATTCTCTGAGAATAAACTCAAGACCATTATAAAAGCAGGTCAGCAGGATTCTAAGGAAAGGCTCTTTTCAGTGATGTTGGATTGGTGGTATGGCAGGTATTCCGACTGTGGGTGGGAGTGAAAGCCTTTGCTTGACAGGTCTTAGGTGATCTTTCTGTAGCGTGGGGTTGTGCTCAACAACCAGTTTGACCTGCAGACATGATAAAGCACTGTAAGGGCAAGTGCTTAGCTGCTTGCTGTTACCTATTAGCTTCTCATGAACTGTGCTCCTGGAAAATGACCATTAGTATAACAAGCAATACATCATGGTAGCAGTGATTGAAACTTCCAATGACTTGAACTATCTGAAACCCTTTATTTCAGAAAGAATTTTACTTTCATCAAGAATTAATTTTATGGACAAGAATTTTGACAGCTGTTTTTAATTGTTTTAAAATTCTTGGTGAAGGGCAGGAAATCAGTTTTTTGTGCGTTTTTTTGTCCTGTTCAGAAAGGATTGTGTACTTGTGTTAGTTATATTTGCATTGTACAGGAAGTAGATTTTGATGCCTTTCTGTTCTTTGTAGTGTGTTGTTAAATATTGAAAGGCTGCTTTGCTGGTTGCTCAGTGTATAATCTTTTGTTGAAATCTCATTAAGCATTTTAACTTGAGTGTTAGCTATTGAACCTCTGCATAATGCTTACTGTATACTTTATGTATACAGTAATATTGTCATACCCAGTCTGTAAAGTATGATTTTTGCATCCTTCAGGCTGATAGGTGGTGTAGTCCAAATTACATCAGAAATTACATTTCCTATTGTTCAGTGTACAAGTCTTACTTTTTAATAAAAAGTGTATTGGATGAAGGTTTCTTAAAGGCGGAGAGGAGTTCAAGTGACTACAGTGGTGAAAGATGGATTGCCTTTGGTTAAAAATCCTTGTGTGGTGATGTATTATGTCCTCAAACACCACCTCCACCCCCTCTCCCCCCCAAAACTGCCCTTGAACTTAGCAGAAACTCTGGCCATAGCACGGCCTTTGTTGCCTAACCAAGGAAGGTGACAAGAGACAGTAAATCATCCCCTGATAGCCTAGGAATGTTACTTGCCTGAAACATAGCCTGAGAGGAACAACATTATGGTTACAGACTTGGGAAAATTTCCAGTAATTACCACCTTGGATGGCAGCCAATATGGAAACTGCCTGAGGACTAAAGTCAGTCATCTTGCATCCCTGAAAGAAGTGGTCCTAAGTGAGGCCCTTAGAGCTCCCTGGCACAACAGCAGGCTGCATGAGCATCTCCCTGCAGGAGAGTTCAGCAATTCTTAGGTTCTAGAAGCTAGTCCATGGAACCCGCTGCCCTCAGCGTGGGAATGGAACAGAGCTGGCAGATCTTGAAGTGTGCATTCCACAGGGAGCAGGAGCTCTCAATCTCCATCTGTAAGAAACCAGGAAAGGAAAGCCAACAGCATGGCTGAGTCAAGACCTGCTTGCCAAACTGAAGGGCAAGAAGGAAATGAAAAGGCAGGGAAGCAGGAGGAGGTATCCTGGAAAGAGCATGGGGACATAGCTCAGTTGTGACAAGATAGGGCTGGGAAGGCAAGGTGTGGCTAAAGCAAACCTGGCAAGGGATGGAAGAGGAAGAGGAAGGGCTTCTGTAGGCATGTGAGCCATAAGAGAAGGTCAAAGTGTAACTTCCCCCACAGTGAACATGGCATCAGTGACATAGTAGGATTGAGTGCACCCTCTGAGAATTTGCACTATCTGAGTGGTCCAGCTGTGACATGTCCAAGGGACAGGACGCCATGCAGGACACGGACAAGATCAAGCTGACCCATGTGAATTTAAAGATGCTCGGCAAGGTGAAATGTAAGGTCCTGCACTCAAGGCAAATGCCAGCTGAGAGATGAAGGGATTGAGAGATGCTCTATGAAGAAGGATTGAGGGTAATGGTGCTTGAAAAACTGGACATGAGACAGCAATGTGCACTTGCAGCCCAGAAACCAGGAAGCCAACCACATCCTGGGCTGTATCCAGAGCAGTGTGGCCAGCAGGTCAAGCAAAGTGATTCTGCCCCTCTGTCCTTCCATCTATAGAGAGACTTCACCCCTGAGCGCTGCATTCAGCTCTGGGGTCTCCAGAACAGGAAAGACATGTTTCTGTTGGACCATGCCCTGAGAAGGGCCACAAAGAAGATGCAGGGGGCTGCAGCATATCTCCTATGAACCCAGAGAGGTGGGATTGTCCAGCCTGGAGAACAGAAGGCTCCAGGAAGCCACTCAAAACTTTCAGGAGACCTGGAAGAAAGATGAGGACAGACCTATTAGTAGGGCAGTTACAGGGCAAGGGGTAATGGTTTTAAACTAAAGGAGAGTAGATTCAGGCTATGTAAAAGAAAGAAGTCTTTTTCTTTGAGGCTGTTGAGACATTCGAACAGGCTGCCCAGAGAAGCTATAATACTCCCAATCCCTGGGAGTGTTTCAGGAGAGATTGGACTGGGCTCTGAGCAGCTTGGTCTAGTTGAAGATGTTCTGGCTGACTGCAGGGCAGGTTGGATTAGAGGATCTTTTCAGAAGCCTTCCAACTCAAACCATTCTGTGATTGTGTGATTTCTGCAGTGTTTTCAACTTAGAAGCTAGAAACAGCAGAAGCGATAGAAGCCTAGAGCTGGGCGAAACATACTCTTTTAGGGGGAGGAGAGGGAAAGTGGAAATAGTGTTGAGTTCTTGTGGAAGAAATGTACATTCAGTGGTAATGTAGAGTCAGAAGTCAAAGAGAAAAGGGCAAGAAGCATGTGCCTGTTTGCAAAATGCACCAATGATGCCAAGGAAGTCTTAATGTCAGCTAGTAGAAACAACCTGCATTAGCATTCCCCCTTTCATATTGTTAGTAAAGCTGAGAATGTTTCCCCTTTTGTCTTCAATCCTTTGTTTTCTTGTACTGTCTAATTGTTACATCATCTACCACTCCTGGTCTCCTTGCTGGCCCTGAGCTGTCCAGCGCCCTGATGGCATTGCAGTGTCTGGGCAGACTCGTGTCAGGAAAGCCTTGCTGTGTCCCTGAACCACAGAAGCACTGGCTCCCTGTGTGTCACAAAGGGCACACGTGCTGGGTCTCCACACTGGTGGCACTTGTAACGCCCTGGGTAACAGTGCTGGGGGTGTTTCCACAGAGTAGTAACTCTATTTACACTAGAGTATCCTGAGTCTTCCCACAAGTGGGAATAAATTACTGAAAATATAGAAACAATTTACATTTAAAAGAAATAAACTGTACTAGGGGAACTTAGCAGCAATCTTCCGTCTCAAAATAAGATTATGGAGATAACTGACAGAAGTTATTAAGTCAGCTTTGAGTTCATTTTTTGTTTTAAAATTCTGTCTTAAAAGTAGAGGCATGCCCAGTGTGAATAAACAAATACAAAAAGTGTTTTTAAAGTAGTGTACGGGCTTTTCAAGATAAATAGTGTAATGGAGAGGTTATCAGAAAGCAAGTTGGCCTCAAAGACTCATGGAGGAATTCCTCTGGTATAGTTTGTTCCTACAGCTATTCTAAGAGGACAATCTGCACCCCACACCCTAACAATACATTACTCAAAGTTGTGCTGTTGGCCAAAAAAGCTCAGTCTTATAATATGAGTCTAACATGCAAAAGGCGAGAGAGGAAGCAGTGCTGCTGATTAGTGTTATAAAGTGTTTATCACTACCTTCACACTGAGTA